GCACTGGCCATTACCCCACTGCCAAACAGGTTTCTACTTTTCCACACTTTCTTGTTTTGTTCTTCTGACATCATGTATTCATCATTCAAGTTTCTTGCAAGTTTCTTGGAATATTCAGGAAGCTCTTCCTCTCTATATATAGAGGAAGAGCTCGCATGTATGTAGTCTTCACGCACTTCTTAATTGAATATTCGAAACCACACCTTTGAGCTATTCGAGGTCTGGCCTCTCACAGTAACAAAAGGATAGGAGGAATGAGAGAATAAGAGAATAGGGTTCGGTCCTTAAATAAATTGAAAAATAAGAGTAAGAGTAAAAATGATAAGTATACCTCACAATCCCCGATAAATACCAAACTAACCTATCCTACAACCACTTCTTAACCCCTAGCTACCCCCTCGTACCCATACTACCCTAAAACAAACACAAGCTCACCCATCTTACTACTTAACATCTAACTTTCTAACTTACATCCAAAAACACAAATCTTACAATCCCACAAATCCCACAATCCCACAATCCCACTATTCAACCCCAACAAAATGTCAAAAACACGATAAAATTAATTCTACTCCCCTCCATCACAGTACTGTACCAGAACCCATTCTTAGCTTTACAACCCCGAATAATAAATACCTAATTTCTACTGTAGAAAAGTATGTACTCGAGTATGTACAATCAGTCCCTGAATCCTACGATAGTACCCCTCCGATCCCCTCCATCTATGTATTATAGTATTATATATTCTCACATTCTCATAATCTATACTGTACTATACGATATAACGAACCTATAACCAACCACCTATATAGTAAAGGGAGACATCTCTCTCTCCCTCACTGTCTCAGGAAGAAAGAAAAGGAGAAAGAGTGGTGTGATATACTACTATGTCCAATCCAATCCAATCCAATCCAATTCAATTTACTTGTACTATTACATCTCATCCCACACTATCCCTATTTTATTTTGAATCGATTATTTTATTTACTACTTCCTCCCTATCCTCCCTATCCCCACCCCCATCCCCATCCATCCTACTATCCTCACTGCAGTAACTATCTCACTCCACAACCAACCACCCAACCAACCCACGCATGATCCTATCAAAGCCCACTCCCCATTCCACATAATCCACATCCTCCCAACAACAAAAGCGAAAAATTAGAGAAGAAAAAAAATTGAAAATTGAAAAATTGAAAAACCGAGGGGATTTCATTCAAGACATATCTCTCATTCCCAATTACAACAAAACTAGACGGGGGTTCGAGAGGAAAAGACTATGTAATGTAATGGAATTCCCAAACCCTACATACAGTACGGTACGGCCCACATTGAGTTTCATTTCTTCAAATAATTAAAAACTGGTTGATCATCTTGATATCTAGAGTTTTTCAACAACGAGGTGGTATGCTCCCATGGGCCACTGATAGGGGTGAGAGTATAGTCCGTCCCAACCTCCATCCTCTCTACAGAAAAAAGAAGAAAAAAAGACAATGTGAAGAAATAAAAGAAACACGCATGAAAGCCAAAGTCCCAGATGTCACGCCGTTCGCAGAATAAACAAGACCAACGACCCAAATGCGAAGATTTTATGCAAAGAGGAAAGAGATGATCCGGCTTAGGCCTCGATGTCGTGAGGGACGGGGCTGTTGGCGATCATCTTCTCGCGAGCGTCATGGCCGGCTGAATATTTGCTCTCGGCGTCGGATGAGACGTCGTTGAGAACCTCACGGGTCAACTCGACGTAGTCGTATGCGAACTCGCCAATCTCGGCATCGTCGATACCAAGAATTTCGGCTTCCTCGGTGGCGCGAAGGGAGAGACCTGGGATGAGGTTCATGATGAAAAGGATGAGGCAGGTTCCTCCGAAAGAGTAGATACCTCCTGCGAGGGAATCGGCCAATTGGTATCCAAGTTGGACCCAGTTGTGGTTGAGCCATCCTCCTGGAATCACGGTGAAACCATCGAGATGTGCTATGTAGTCGGCAGCGAAAAAGGCAGTCAAGATGTTACCAATGAAACCACCAATGGCGTGCTCGGCAAAGATGTCAAGAGCATCATCAATACCGAGGAGGAACTTGAGCTTAGTAGCATAGTTGGCACCTGCGGCACCGAGAACACCGTAGATGATAGCGGCCCAGGCGGGAACGAAACCGGAACCGGGTGTGATGGCAACCAATCCAGCAATGACACCAGAACAGAAACCAACAGTCGACCATTTGCGCTCAAGGCGGTAATCGAGGACACACCAGGTAATACCTCCAACACAAGCAGCCAGGTTGGTGACAACTGCAGCCATGACGGCGCGCATATTGGCAGCGAGAGCGGAACCAGCGTTGAATCCGAACCATCCAACCCAGAGGAAGACGGTACCGATGACGATGTGTGTAACGTTGTGTGGGCGGTAGTTCAATCTACAAGTATTGTCAGTTCACGTTACGGACTTGAATAAATTTCCGATATCCGAGTACAAAGTAGGGAACACGGAAGATCTGATACTTCGCGGATGAGATCAAGGATCACTTACTCATGAGTGCCGTGTCCACGACGTTTGCCCAACATAATGGAGTACGCAAGGGCAGCGCAACCGGAAGAAATATGCACTGGAGTTCCACCGGCGAAATCCAATCCTCCCAACTTAAAAACCCAACCCGAAGAGTTCCAGGTCCAACAAGCGATTGGGTCGTAGATGATGGTGGTCCATACAAACATGAAAACGACGGATGGTAGCATGCGACCACGTTCGGCAACGGCTCCGACCGCCAAAGCTACAGTGATAGCAGCGAACATTCCCTGGTACACGGCGAACATGAGATCTGGAATCTTAGGCGAACCAATGGATGGTGCACCAAGGACATTTCGGAAACCAATGTTCTCCAAATCACCAATATACTTGCCGGCCGTGTGTGAGAAAGCGAGGGAGTAACCCCAGAAGAACCATTGAAATGAGACGACGGCTGTAGCCATGATGGAAAGCCAGATGAGGGACAGAGCGGACTTTCGGCGAGCCAGACCGGAGTAGAAGAAGCTGTACGTGGAAAGATTAGCTTCTGTTGCACCAGGTCCACTGAACACGTTGAATGGTATGCACTTACCCGACACCTGGAATCATGAGCAGGACGAGAGCGGTTGAGGTGATCATCCATGCGATGTCTCCAGACTAAAAATGTGGTCATTAGCTTGGGTATGATTTTGAGGCGATTCGCCCCAAGTGCATTGCATGCGATTGAAGCTTACCTCGTAGAAGATGTTCAAATCCTCCGTAAGCGAGTCGCCGCCAGCTGCGTTGGTGCCATTGTAGGCGACCTTGACGACGTAGTTGAGGTGATCGGGATCGATACTCATTTTTGCGATTAGTTGCTCTCGGAGCGTATTATAATAAGGTGGTGTTGTTGTTTATAGGCGAGTTTTCGTATTTTGGTGTTTGTTTGGCTCTCTGAGCTCTTGGGAATTAGATTTCGACGAATCGCGAGAGTGCGCGGTAGGTCGAGGCGGGTTTGCAATTCACTCAAGAATGCAACGGTCGAAATGAGTGTAATTGAGTGAGAGGTTTCGCCGTTGGGGGGGAGGAAAGGTACTCTTGGCGGGAGGAGAAGCTGTCCAACGGTGGTGGAGGGGGAGTTTGGATATAAAAGGGCAAAAGTTGACTGACGAGCGACGGGGCAGGGTTGTCGAGGTGAGTGAGATCTTGGCGCGTGGATGTCTCAGGGGGTCGATGAGTTGCAGCGGTGCAGGTGGGTTGGGGCAGGGGTCGGTGGGAGTGGATCCGAGTGGAGAGTGTGGACGGAGAGCAGAGACTCAATTGACAATTGGAGGGTTGAAGGTGCAGGCGAGAAGGATATTTGACGGGGAAGGGGTCTGCTTATGTTGATGTGCCGCTTTCAGTGGAACACCAATACGGAGTACAAACCTACTCCGTAGTCGTATTCAAGGTTGTGCCAATATCAGCCAAACAGGAGCTGGCCGAGGCGTGAGGCTGTGGTTGGATTGCTGCAGAGTGTAAGAGAGCGTCACCACTTCGAAACAAGAGGAGAAGAAAAGTAAGAAGCAGAGAAAAAGAAGAGAAGGAGGACATGTGGGAGGTCGGGGAAGTCGACTCCTATATCAAGAGGTGTTGATCAAGGTAGAATTTAGAAAGAATGCTAGTCAGTGAATCAACCAACTCTTTCCGACCTGTCCCGAGCAGTAGATAGCTACTCTCGAGCTACTGTAACTTCCTACATGACCACACACAAATTCAACGAAGAAGGGCAACTCAGACCGAAAGCCTTGACAGCCTTCGTCGGAGGCGACCAGCCGTTGATATGCAATCCTGTGTTGATTGGAGCAACTTCTTCCTCATACCTTATTGAGCTCTAATGTGTATCTATCTTATCTTCCTCACCCGGTTCATTCTTTGTTGACTTGTTCACTCTCTATCCTCTTCACTCTATCCTCATGTCAGAGTCATTTCGAAGATACCAGTACAAGAACATCACATGAAGACATCAAAGGTGCTAATTTCAATTTCTGCAGAACTCTTCAAACATTCCCTACTCAACCTCATACACTCGCATGCATATGTGCTGCCAAGTAAAGTACTTTTCCACACATGCGGTTCAAGCTAGCGAATGGCCCAGTAGCAACCTAATGAGGCAACTCAATAATGCGAGTACGGGGTGGCATTGTTGTAAAAAACTTCCATATTACTTCCCTCGGTTCTAGCGTCCCATCGCAGGTGTCAAAGCCGGAAGCCAGCTCAGGCTGAATTGATCCCAAAGTGATACCACACCACACCACCCCATCCATCACTGCTGCCAAAACGAGTACGGCAGCTCCCGTGGCGTCCACATGAATGTATTTTCGAGTCTGCTTACCGTCGTGTCATGAGGTTGTGCAACTGAATCGAGTTCAGCGCAAATTTTGGCGTGAGCGAGATCTGGTAACCACCACATTGACTTTTCGAGAGCATCTTCTTAACATGTGATGCCAGCCAACGCGATTGGCTGAGAAGGATATTGAAATTGTAAAGGACGTCAATCAACGAGAAGCGACGTCTTCTCTGCCTCTTGGCCAGCCCCCTTGCGCCTCCGCTCCATGGGCGTTCCTTAGCGTGGTTATGAGGAATCCACAGATAAGCAAATACCGGCTCTTCTCGCTTGTCATTGGACATGGTCCGGCATCAGCCAGGTCGCGACCGAGTTTGGAACCAGCGATTTCTAGGGATTTGTTATCTGCGGGTTGAGCCTTGCCAAGGAGTTGGTAGGAGTGAGAACAGCCCGTTTGATGACTGAGGGCCGCACCAACGGGCGGGAGCCAGTATTACAGTATTGGTGGACCACTTATTCCGTACTCTGAAGAAGTCACATCACCAACTGAAGACAACACCTGGCATACGATTCCGAAATGTACGTACAACAGTCGGATGCGATACGCGGAGATATTATTGAAGAAGACGGTTTTGGTGTCGCCGAGCCTGCAACTAGAAGACCACCGACTCCAGCGCCCTCCGACGTGTAAAACAAAGATCAACAGCATCACGGCAGAACACTGCAAGATCTGCTCTGCCCTTACAGAATGCATTGTTTCTATGCTGTGTGAGGATCACCAAAACGAACTTGATAGACCAAATGTGTATGGGATCTTCAGGTATATCGTTGGGATGCTGGCAGAGGTAGCCATACAGATGCAGTGAAAGGCAAGTGAAAAAACCAGAATGAAACGTTGAACATTGGATCTTCGACCAGCATCATCTCCAATCGCAACTCTTTCACACCAAGCCATCCCATTTCTCCATTCGTCATTTCTTGCAGGTTTGATGTTTCGATTGAATGTTTCGCCTTAAGCCTGTCTCAAACGGAAAAGCAAGTACCTCACAATTGCCATCACACCGGCACTTCATCCTATCCCAAGCAATTTACGAGTGAGGCCAAGATCATTCTCCTCATCTGAACATGGCGCAATCCCAAACCTTCAAAACATTTTCAAGGCTCCGAGTAGGAGCAATCAATTCATGGGACGTCCTTGAAGAACACCTTTCAACTTGGATCACCAAGAGGAAGAACCACGATCGCGGATCGAGCAGTTAGGTAAACGGATAAGTGACTCGCAGGGACATCCTTCACATCCTCCCCACGTACCCCTTAACTTCAACGTGGTCTAGCTCATCATTATGACCAGGGACGAACTCGGTCTAATCTCCATCGAGGCAAACAATCTAGACGCCTCCGTCCTCCGTACCCTTGGGATGATAATGATACCGTCGTACCAACACCACCACCCACCTTATTTTAAGCTGATGTGGTACGACGATACACGCACATTACAATAATAAGGCATAACAATTCCCCTTCTCCCAAATATAAAATTTCCATTAATCTAGAATCCAATTCCAATTCCCAAGCATGATTATTTCCGCGCGTCCGTAGGAACATCCGAATAAGACAGAAAAACGCTTGTTTTCGGCATCCTCTTTCGGAAGGGAGGCTGTGCGCCGAAAGTTGAAGTTTCCTTCGGAATCGGGACAGTACTTGTACTGGAACCCCGATATTGTCCCGTTTTCTACCTTTTTTACTCGAGTAAAAGTAGAGAGAAAAATATTCCGCGTTGGCGTTGGCAATAATGATCACCAACAAGACGGAGGTACCCTAATGAACCATAGATTTGCTACCGGAGAATATTACAACAAGCATATCCCACCCAAGATTCTTCCACGCGAGGGTAGAGAACTCCAATTCTCACTACCGCCCTGTGCTTACTGTACCACCACCGTATTTACCCCCCGGACAGCTACCAACGCGCATGGGAGATTAGGTCGTTAACTACTCTTACTATACTGACAGTACTGTAGAGTAACGGACGGGTTCAATCTAAAGACCTGTCTGGACTCTGCCTACCAGTTCCCCTACAAATATAGACAGTACGTATGGGTGAGGGTTTTCGCAAGTAACAGCTAGTTCTGGGTTACTTTCCAATGTTTAACAGTAATTAATGGTGACTGAATTATTAACATGGGGAATTGGATTCTTATACTCGATGATACTACGGACTAATTTCTGGTACTACTAGTACCCTCGTTACCTGATTCTGTGTGAGAGTACGAAGGTGCTGGAGCATGGTGGTGTTAGGCGCTGAGAATATGTACTTACTTACCTACCGAAAACATCGTCACTGTATCTTACCTGTGCTGTTCTACGTAGTGTAGGATCCCACCAGATTCCAATACAGCAGCCCAGTCCAATACAATACAATACATATAAACAAATAAACAAAAATAAAAATACTTACTTATAAGTCTAATCCTCCTGAATCCTACTCTCTCGAGTACCTACAGGGTCGTACAAAGCCATCTAAGGTTATCAGCGCCACGGCATTGCATCTATTTATTACTCTCGGGAGTCGGTGCGACGTTGATGTACCTAGTGTACTGTATGGTGTCGGTAAGCGAGCGTAAGACACCCTAACATTCGGTGAGGATTTTTGGGTGGAGGGCGCGTATTGTGTTTTATTGTACGACGCTACGAGTATGGAGGATGGGAGGGAGCTGAACTGAACTGGGGGGNTCGGTGAGGATTTTTGGGTGGAGGGCGCGTATTGTGTTTTATTGTACGACGCTACGAGTATGGAGGATGGGAGGGAGCTGAACTGAACTGGGGGGAGGGGGTGTGGGGTTGGGGTGTGAAGGATGGGATGGGGGATTGTTGGGATTGTTGGATGGATGGGTGGATGGGATAGGGTATCTTTGGTTCTGACGAGTTTCTTTCTGTTTAAGTGATGGTTTTTCTATTGGGGATTTGATGGTTGGTGAGTGGGATTTGGTTTTTATTCCTTGTTCTCCATTTTTGTAAGTTTTTATTCCTGAGTTAAAACTTGATGGGGGTTGGTTCCTTGGGAAATGAGGAGGTAGGGGGCTGTATTTCTGGGTTGGGTTGTTTTCGTAGGGTAGGATAGTGGGTGTTGTATTGTATTGTTACCAGATGAATTATTCGTTGTGATATTCATTGATGAACTACTATCTATCCTTCCGCTATTTTCCTTTCTTATTTTCTATAGTACCGTTTCTTCGTTTCTTCATTTCTTCATTTCTTTCTTTCTTTCTTCATTTCTTCATTTCCTCCTTTCTTTCTGTTTTTAAAACTACAGTACTATATCCCCCCCATCCCCCCTCCCTCCCCATTATCCCATCTTCCCTCCCCTTCCCCCTCTCCCTCTCCTCTCCACCATCCCACCACCCCATCAACTCACCCTCCTCACCCTCTGCACCCACCCGCTCATCCTCACATATCTATCCTCGCATCTCTTCTCCATATGTGAAAAGAGCACGTTATGCCTGTCAAGCATCCACTTCTGCATCTACAGCCATCCTATGACTATGACTTTTCATCTCAAACCTGCATTTGGATGTTGTGTGCTTGGTTGGTTGTACAGTGTACGAGGGCGGTGCGTGTGAGATGCGTGTTTGCCATGGTTTGTGGGACGTGGAGGGGTTTCTTTGTGGGAGTGGGATGGGGGGAGGGGAGGGGAGGGGAGGTTGGGTGATGGGTGGATGGGTGGATGGTGGATTGTGGATTGTTGGCGGTGAAAGGGGAAGAGAAGGATAGATGAGAGGGAGGGACGAGAGAATACTGCTTGGATTGTGGAGATATTTTAGGTGTATGATGGTCATGATGATTGT